GGTATTCCATTACCTATGAATTATTCCCGAGAGACACACATACAAGATGTTTTAGAAATGATCTTCTATTGATACGTAATAGCGACTTACATCCAGGTAGTTGGTAAGAGGAGTGGGAACGGTGCCATTGCTGGTGTCATTTGTGGCTGTCTGGGTCAACTCTGTCATCACTTGCTCCACTGAAACACCCATCTCCTGTAGTGTCTCCCTGATGGATGGCATCTTCTTCAGGGCGATTCTACAGAAATGACAGATAAGAGAGAGAGATCAACTTGTCAAATGTGGCCTTAAAAGATCTTAACGCAATAATAGATAAAAGATGTGTTAGATGTGTGAGTATGTATTTTTTCAATGCTATAATCTGAAAGCTTTGGCTGATTATCACAATGATCATAAAATAATAAAACACAGATTATATCACATTGTGTGCCAAGTCAGGAAAGTAATAAAGAGCATGTGTCATCAATGTGCTAAACATTATCCTTTGTAATAAAGAAAAGGACCTGTTTTCCTTCCTTTTAAATGTACTGTAACTCGCACAGTTTAGTTTTATGACCATGGTTTATTGTTGAACATAAATATATTCCATTTCTTTCTGAAACACTATAGGTGCAAATTTCAAAACTATATGGCAAAGAATCATAGTTCAGTAAGACTGCAGCAGCGTCCAGTTGGCATGGAATGTATTCCATTAAAACGGTATGGTATTAACACAGGCTGGCTCTCACAAAATTGTTCAAAAGTACAGACTGTTGTGTATTTCAGCTTTTCTTTGACAAAAATACTGAATTTGAAGCCAGGAGTGATCTTACCTGTTCAAGGCCCAACTTGAGGATGCCATAACCAATATCGAAACCAAACATTGATTTATCGCTGGTGATTTCTGATGCATGATTTCTCTGGCCTATGTCGGTGTGTAGTCCTTGCTCCTTGTGTTAGATGCCCCTCTCCTCAGTGTGACCGCAGGGACCCAGTAGATATAGCTGGGATCTTTCCTGGGGGTTAGACAGCATTGCCCCTCCCTGCTGTGATAAACCGGTCCCACTGAGAAGTCTGATCTCTGACCTGCTGAAAATCAACATGGTCAGACAACATTCTGCATCCACAGTAAGTCATCTGTATTTGTATAGCGCATTTCACGGACCACACAAAGCGATTTATAATTTGGATTTCTGAGATGGAACAGCGAATTGGTTGCATTCATGTGACATCATGATGATCCAAAAAGCCTATGGTTAAACTTTGTATTATGGGGCAGCTCTAGTAACTATGGTAAGTGTTAGGCTATCAAAAGTCAGATTTCTAGTCTTTCTTTAAAGCTGATTTCTTGTTTGTTTTTCAATCCACATGAATTAAAATGGTCACCAAGTTCCACATCTTTGTTAGCTAATATCAACTATGGTCTAATTATTTTTCTCATAAAGGTGACTAAAGGTGGTGAAAATATACACAAAAACAACTGCACAATGACAGATTACGGATATAAGAATGATAGGGCGAGGTTATTTACATTGGTCTCTCCCTATGGGCCAGATCATATGTGTATTTTCATTCTCTGATCTGTGTTGTTGATTTCAATGGCTTTGTTAAGTCCTCTGAGAGGACTTCTGTTGTTATAGACAATAGACATTTTCCCTAAAGAAATGCTTCTTCCTTATAGAGTAGTTTTGGTAACTGCCCTCCAACTGAGTTAGAATTCTAGGACACGAATGCAAAGGATGTGTAATATTGTTAGCATATTGAATCTCCTCTAAGACTGTGTCATGTTTGAAGTTCTGTGCCAACTGTTGTACCATACTGAATCTAACTGGCTAACTATCATAGCATGACAAATCTTTATAATTGCATTGGTTATCTGCCCCTTATGGACCAATGGCTCTATATGTTTTCTATCATTGCATTTCTTGCTTTTGAACTGTTGACTTTCTATTCTGTGTTGGAAAAATCAACAGATTTTTCAATTCTTCTGAATAAATTGAGGTAAATTGAATGAGTTAATGTAAGGATCACTTGTAAAAATGGAGTCCTTTTGTAAGTTGTTGTGCGTCATGCGCCATGGTCCAGTTAGGGGAAAGAAAAATACACATGTTTAGGTTCAGTAAAGGTTCTTTGAGGGGAACCATTGGCAAACACTAGAGCCCATGTCGAGTGTATTATGCCGGAGAGGAGACTGGCAGTGTTTCATGTTTTCATACTCAGGCTCTCGCTGCGATGCGTTGACTTGACAAGGCTTAACATATAATTTTTGGTCCATGGTTTCTTAGTGTTTGTATGAGAAAAAACCCCTGATATCAATGTCAAGAGGTGTCAAGGCAGGGTACAGTACTGACCACCTAGTGACCTGCAGATACGGACAGCCTCTGCAGAGGTCATAGCAGGTCATGCTTGGAGATACTGACTACGTGCCGTGCACAGTGTGACAGCAAAATGCAAGGGTGAAGTTTACAGAATACTCTTCTTTACTTTCCTTAAACTGTTTACCATTCCTTATTTTCAGTGTAAACTTCTAGTGTTTCCACTCACTACGGGGGGCTCTAGAAACACAGAGACACATGTTTACGAGGCTGTGTTGTGAATGCATTGGTGAGTAAAGTTATTTTGGGCACTTTTACCCATATCAATATTTTCAAATATTTTCAAAGAACGTCAAAGTTGTTTTTCCATTTTAGAGCTGGAGTATAAAACATTTTTGTTTGTTGAATACATTCTGTTTTTTCTAATGGAAAGACTCTTCAGACCACAACATGTTTTCTTCATCTTATTTGAAAAAATTGGGTATGTTACATACTGATTGGCAGAGTGAGGGCTGGTACTCTAAAGCTGAGGACTAGTGATACAACACAACTGATTAGAGCTATGAACAAGTTACATGGATTTTATTTTGTAGTTATTCTTTGTGGTTTCAAACGTAGATACTCCATGAACCTTTTATACAGCATAATGTGTCCAGAAAGCTTATAAGGAGCAGACGCAAAGCTAGTAGCTCATTCCAGGACATTTTCACAGGAGTCTTGACCTGTCTGTGTAATGGATCCTCTGGTCTCGTTCCCACACTGCTCATAAAGACCCCTGCGTCACTCTAGCCTGCCCTCCCCCATCCTCAATCATCCCTCTGCAGTGGGCATGGGAAATGCCCTGTCTCTCCTGGATCATCATTCACTTCAATTTCAAGTTGATGTAGCTTTTGGCTACTGCTGCGTAGACAGATCAAGATTAAAAAAATATGATCCCCTGCTTCCTAGTTCACTATCTTCACTCCTGATTATTGCATAGAAATATTAATCAATCCCTATAAAACCAATATGGAGCCTTTTTTTTGGGTATGTTGTCCTAGTGTCCGAGGCTTTTGAATAATGAAGTTACATGAAGTGGCCAAAGAGCAGACCTGACGCACTGCAGACGTGGGCTTGGCGTAAGAGGGTGTACAGGGCTGTGACTGTGAGCTATGTGTCATGATAAGAGAGATATGAGCACAGTGCCTGTGTGTGCAGGAAATGAGACTCAAGCAAAGTCATCCCTTTTATCCCTCTAACAAAGAGGAATGGCCTCTAAATTCACAAGAGCTTGACTTCAAAATGAGGAGTTGGGGAGAAACCACAACATTTGCATGTTTTTTTAATTAGCAGTTTAGCAGTTATAGTTACCAGCGGCACTAAAGCGTTAAGCGTCTCCTTTTATGCCCCATTGTTATGACTTAGGTTTCTGAGGCACTATTTGATGAGATAATTCTGTGAAACCATCTGGATACAATATGGATGAAATATGTGAGACAGTCCTCACAACAGGCGGTAGAAATGTAGAAATAAAGACTTAAAAGCAGACTGAAAACACATTTTTGAGACACGGAAGGCACTGCACTCTCTGGTTTTATTTTTTTTTTTACAATAAACTGATTGTTAGGTTTTTTTTTTTGTACATTGTGATGCGTAAAATCGATTTGACATGTGAGGCTGATTTCAGCCAGTAAGTGGCAGCAAAGTACTGTACACATACGCGTGGAATTAAGATTTCAGATTGACATTCAGCCATGCTGCCATTGTCTCTAGAAAACAGTTATAAAAAGTATTCAAAGAAACCTGATAATGAAAGTCATTAATATTCTAGCATACATGGATCACATGATGAACTTCCTTCAAACACAACATACTGTAGCTCTTTAACAGAGTGTGCCTTGGCTGTCCCTCTGTCAGTGTACATTGCTTCATCAACTAAACCGTCTACTTACATGAAATTGGTTAAAAGCTCGGGGTGTCTAACCAGTAGCTTGGGCGCTACAGGAAAAGTCTACCTGCAGTAAGTTCTATGCATTCTCTTCAGCGTATACAAAATTAAGCTGAAGTTTAAACAATATTTTAGTCAAGCATCTGGAGCCAGGACACCTCATAAGTCTTTGTTAAACATCAAACCCTTCAAAGGGAAAATGTGAAAAAACTAATCTGTAAATTCCATCCATCAACTGTCTTCTGCTTTATCCAATCTAAGGAGAGATGCCCAGACTTCTCTACACACAACTTCTTCCAGTTCATCTGATGGAATTACCAGAGACATAGTCACAACTTAGTCTATGGTCACAACCCACGGAGGCCCAACCCCCTACAAAGGAAACTGACCAAGACCAGCAACCACATCTAGAGATGGGTCTCCAGACGCTGCACTGCCCCCGCCGCTCCTAACAGGTTGCTCTAGTACTGGGGTGAACAACCTTTTTAGGTCCATCCATCCATCAATTTTCTTCCCCTTAATCCATTTCTGGGTCGGGGCGTGGCACTCAGAGCTGCACCCAATTTACAGAGTACCATCCCCTCAATGATCCTCAGAGCTGTAAAAAATTATTCAAACTGTTATTATTATTATTATTATTATTAATAAACAAGGCCAACATTTTATGGTCCATCCATTTTCGTCCTCTTTATATGTCCCCATGTCACAGCAGTCCAGACTTCAACGTACCTCTCAACGTACAATTTCTCCAGTTCATCAGGGAGCTTCCCGAAGTGGACCTATGTCCAGCTGAGGGACAGTGTGTCCAGCTGAGGGACATGTGTCCAGCTGAGGGACATGTGTCCAGCTGAGGGACCTGTGTCCAGCTGAGGGACCTGTGTCCAGCTGAGGGACAGTGTGTCCAGCTGAGGGACATGTGTCCAGCTGAGGGACATGTGTCCAGCTGAGGGACCTGTGTCCAGCTGAGGGACATGTGTCCAGCTGAGGGACCTGTGTCCAGCTGAGGGACAGTGTGTCCTGTGTCTTCTCTGGGGCCTGCGGCTGGTGTGGTTTTGAAATAAATAAATAAAGTCCAGAATTACTGTCATTGTCACGTGTCAGACCCTCTGATGTTTAAAAAATAAGAAAAGAGGGCAATGCATTTAGAGAAACATATTTTTACTGCCGCCTGCAGATGAGCGGCCTCACCTGCGACCCATGCAGGATGAGCTGCTGCAGATGCTGCGTCCCTCTCGCTCTGTTCCATGTGGCAGCTCTGACATCTGCAGCAGCACCAGAGCTCTCAGAGGGCTGCAAATTAACCTGAAGAATCAGTGTGTTTGTGTGTGTGTGTGTGTGTGTGTGTGTCTGACCTGTTATTGCAATGTTGTAACTTTTTACACAAACAATACAAAGCCCAGGAGCAAGCTGTTTTCAACTTCAAAGTCTCTGTGTAAAAATATCCTCATGCTGTTATCCATCAAAAGGAAAACTTATTGTTTTGCTGAACAATGGTTCCGTCAGATCTGTGATATGTTGATTTGCACATTTGGTCCTGAAGGCTCACCTTTACAAAGTGTCTCCACATCTGGTTAATTACAAAATCAACTCTCTGGACTTGGCTAACTCACTGCAGCCAGATCTATTGTATTGAGTAAGGTTAAAAATTTGTTTTATTTAAATGTACTTTGCTTGATTTTATGAGGTCTTCTGAATATCTGTGATATTCTACTAAAGTAATCCAGCATTTCTCTCTGTTAACCAACTGATAAATATTATTGCTTTTCATATTGCCACTAGAACTCATTGCCTTTTGGTGTGGAGTTAGCCAAGCACATTGGACCTCATTTATCATTCATCTGTATGTGAAAGCCAAAGATTGTGGAGAAGTGTAAACGATAAAAATTACTGACTCCTTCTGATTAATTTGTGTTTCGTGACATTATTCCAAAGTTTTGTTTCTACAGCTGTACTCATTTCTTCACTGCTATTTTTTGTGTGTACTTTGATGAGCCCAAGTGCACTCCCCAGAACTAGAAACATAATAAAGTAATTTTCACAGAGTAAGTAACACAGGCTTTGTTTCATCAAACATCAGGGCGCTCCACAATGTATTATGATTTATGAGGCTTTTATTTACGGGAAGGGGCGAGATTAATGTCACAAATGTCAAACCCCTTAACCAAACTTTTTTAATTATCTGGTGTTTCAGACAAATGGTTCCAGGCCCAGTTCAAAAATATTCATTGGGTCAACATCTAAATAAAAAACTCATAAAACTCATAATCATTCTGAATTTGTTCAAGTGCAAATTTGTCATGTTCAAGGATTTTTTTTTGTACTTGCTCAAATTAATAGATATTGTCAATTCTGATTCACCTCATAGTGAAATTGTCAGAAAGGGGGAGTATATAACTGCTTTTTCAGTTATTAATGGATTACAAAAAATACAAGCAAATTGGAGCTTAAAAGCCTCTGTCCTTATTCTACAGCCTGAGTCCTGGATCTGTAGCATGTCCGTCTGTGGCAGCAGATCCCTCTCTTCTTTGCCAATGCAGAAGGGTCTAAGCCAAGGACAGCACATTTATGGTTATGGTCATTGGTCATCTGCCCCCATATGACCAATGGCTCCGATGTTTTTTTCTTGCATTTTCTGTGTTTGAACCATAGACTGTATATATTAACGGACGTAGCCACGCCTATCTCTGCCGTTCTAACTAATGGGCCAAAAATTGGGCTTTCATGGAGTGATTCAAAATGGCCGCAGGGGCTGAAAAATGTGAAAAAACGCATCTGCGTGTGCGTAAGCCGGCACAAGCCCCATTCATTTAAACGAGTGACTTCAAAAATTCACAGCGGGTAAACTAGAGTGGTCCAAAAAAATTCACCCCCCTCAGCATTGACACACATGTGGAACGGAGCTTTGAGCCAAGAGCCAACTTTTGGTCCATCCTGTAAAGACGTTTTCGAGAGGTCAGCTAATGCTATATGTTAGCATTGGCTAATTCTTATTCCAGGTCCACCCCCATCTGCCCGGGGTGGTATTGCAAGCATGTCAGCGCACATCATTTTGGCCACTTTTGAGCCGGGACCCGCCCCCACTGGTTTGATTCTCTGATCTGTTGTTGGTGAATCTGCAACTTTGTAAAGTCACGTGCTGCTGTGTTTTAGGGCTATACAAAAATATATTGACCAAAAGAACAAGATCGGGGATTTAAGCCTTCAAATTGTGTTTCTTTCGCAGAGTGGCTGGGCTCTCCCTTGAGATTGAGCTGCTCGGACTAGAGCCACTGCTCCTCCACGTCGAGAGGAGCCGGCTGCGGTATAGCTCAGGCTTCCGCTTCGGCTTTCTCTCCATTCCTCTATCCGTCCAACATCCTTGTGGGCCGTGTTTTATTTAAATCCTCGTAATATTAATAATGTAAAAAATCTAGTTTGTGTTCTTCTTAAACCGTCTTGGCTCCCGCAGCCTGATGAGTCTCTTGGCTTTTCCTTTTTCACAGATAAGTCAATGCAGTAATGCCTCCAGTGCTGCTCTGTGAGTGAATAATTCAATATTGCGGCCAGTGTGCTCCTCTTATGTGAAGCATGGTTCAGAGTCAGTGAAGGGGAAGGCTCAGTGCGCGGCTGCGATGCTGTGTTTTCAGAGGCCGCAGCCGAGCAGATCTATCTTATGTAAGGAATGGGGCCAAGCTCATAGTCACAGCATCCACCCTGTCCCTGTCAGCAAAACAAGCACCCCATTCCAGATTCGGACGAGTTAGAAGAAGATGTGTAGGACTTTTGAAGAGTACATTTGCAAAAAACAGATATATATATCGGTTTTGAAAATGTGTCAAAAAGTTTTTTTCTTTATTTTACTATCCTCAACAACTGAAGGATATTTATCTTTGCTCTTTTTAATGCACTGTGGTCTTAATTTCTTATGGTTTTGTATTACTTTTTAATTCCTATGTTTTTAATATGTTCTTGTGATCTTACCCCTTCAATGGTTTCCTCAACCATTTGGTAGATCCCTTTTCAAGTCACTATTTCTACTGGAAGCTTGGAAATGAAATCTAATTCTTTGGTTTGAGGCACTTTTACCGGGAAACTGCATCTCAACCAGTTGTAAAAAGGCCTATAATATTAATAATAATAAAAAAAATGAACATAAAACAATGTATTTGTGTTATTAGTATACTAAATCTTAGAAAAAAAATACATGATTTTTATCAATGAGAGAACAAAAGGGTTAATGTTAGGGCGACAGTACAGTAGCTCAGTTGGTAGAGCATTGGCCTTTGAGCCAGAGGGTCGTGGGTTCGAGCCCGACTTTCACCATCGATTCCTGCTATCGTTGTGTCCTTGGCAAGACATTTAACCTCTGGGAACACCTGATGCCACAGTTGGGCGGCTGCGGCTGTAAAGTGCCAAACTGCCGTTGTGTCCTTAGGCAAGACTACCCCCATTGTCTAGAATGAGTCTGGTGTGTGTGTGTGAATGGTTGGTGGTGGTCGAAGGGGCCGATGGCACAGACTGGTTGCCTCACTTCTGTCAGTGTGCCCCAGGGCAGCTATGGCTACAGTAGTTGTTTATCACCACCGTGTATGGAGGGAATGAATAATGACAAAGAAGCGCTATATAAAACCGATGCATTATTAATGTTTGTTTATAATATATTTTTAAATAGTATTTTGTTCATGTATATTAATGTTTATAATTTATGCCTGATGTTATATGGGTTGTGAGGCGCTTTGTGTTGCCTTGTGTAGGCGCTCTACAAATATAAGAGGTTTTTCATGATTTAAGATAAATGTAACAGCATTCACCATGTATTGTTATATACACATGTATTTCCAACTCAACCATAAAGTATAAACACAAACATATCTTCAATCATCCACTTTTATTCACAGCTAAACAAACTTATGTGCAAACAAAATCAAGATCATCTGGAAACTTTGTATTAATAAACATTTTAATCCAGAGGGGGCCTGGTCTCCATTCAGACAAACTGGCCTGGAGATACCTCCTTGAATCACTAACAACTGTAAAACATACCACCCACCTATGTTTTAGACTGTTTCATTTCTTATAATTGTCCCATTATTACGTACATCTCTGCGTGAATCTCTGATATATTTACATGTACCGGTCCTAAACACGCACTTTCCCAATAAAATAAATTGACTATAGTTTTGAATTGACTATAGAAGAAAAAGTGCAGCTGGCACAGATGGGTCAAATTATGGATGTTGTTATTTTGTCTTGAACTTTTTGGATCATTGCATGGAACAAAACGTCCTGCACCACTGAGCACTGATTGTAACAAGATAATTTTCACCATCAGGTAAATAATCTTCCTGAGACATTTTCAAATGTATAATATGATTAGCAATGACACTGGCCAGACACATTAAAAGTGTTTACTGCACTAGACATCTGCAGTCTTTGACATCATTGACATTCTTTGAACTTCCTCTCTGCATCTGCATCTTCATCTCATTTTCTCTTCAGTACTTACATTGATAATATTTATGCATTTGGTTTTATATAGTTCTTTTTTGGACACTCAAAGACACCTCACATGTCATTATTCATTCACTTGATAAACTAGTTTTGTAGCCACAGCGGCCGTGGGGCATACTGACAGAAGTGAGTCAACCAGTATGTGCCATCAGCCTCTCCGACTCAACCAACCATTCACACACACACCAAACTCATTCTAGGCAATATGGGTGACGTTTCTCGTCCCAAGTTTGCACCTGGTGTTCCCAGAGGTCTCCCATCACAGTATTAACCACACCCAGCCCTGTTTAGCTGACAGGCTCTAGCTTCCCCATGCATGTGTACATTGATAATGCAAGATTATATTCCAGGCCATAATCCAGCATCAATTTAATTCAATTTATTTCGTATAGCCCTAAATCACAACAGCATCCGTCTCAGAGGACAACATGGTTGATTCACCAACAACAGATCAGAGAATCAAAAAGTTCGAAAACAGGAAATACAATAATAACAAACACTTATACAGTATGAGCCATTGGTTCATAAGGGCGCAGGATGAAAAATTTTCATAATACATGCCCCTAAATGTCCTTAAAGATCCCAAATTTAGATGTGTTGATAGACGTACATGTATGTTTTTAAAAATAGATCCTAGGTTTGTTGTGTTTTATAAAATAATAGCCACAATCTGAGTGGAGTATCATGTTCTGTAATGGAGTGTTTAATTACATAAGGGGCACCAGTGGCAGAACACTACTGCTCTAAATGTGTTTCATGGTCATTGGCCAGAAGCAGTAACAGCCACATGTCACGTGACTACTGCACTGTGTTCTGTGACCCTGAAAACAGCTCATTTTATGTTCAGAAAGATCAAGTATAATGGGGCAAGTGGAAGCAGAATGGTCACCTCCGTTCTCTCCAGCTGAGTCCCAACAATCAGAGAAAGCAGAGGTGACCAGTGTCTGTGCATAAAGGAGCACACATGTCAAACAGTTGCTTAATGCTTGGTCTCTTTGTTTCTTATTTGGTAAATCCCAAAACCTTTGCCTCTGAGTCCGAAGAGGAGCTTCAATCATGTTGTTTATCTCTGAGAAGGAAATAAAGGACACTGGCAGACTTACAAGACTAAAACGTTAACAATAGACATACACCATGGCGAGCAAACTTAAAACATTATTTCGAGTTTTCATTTTTTTCTGATGCTGCTCTCTGTATGTGTGTGCTTTATGTTTGGTTTGTTCTGAAAATGAAAAATTAAAAACACCACAAGATGGCAGATGAGAACTTCATCAGACTGTGGTTGCATGAGGTAAAGGATGACCTGCATTCAAATAAAAGAAAGCTCACAGTGTAAAAATCCATTAATGGTATCAAACATCTTTTTGTCTTTTAGCATACAGTATTTGTGCTATTTGCTATTATTCATTACACTATTTGAAACTTCGAAAAAAAAATAGCAAAGACTTGAATCAAGGTTTTTTTTATTTTCATCTGAATCTATTGTTGACTATCGTTAATCAAGATTTACCACAAGTAAAACATGTCTGGTTTCGTTCAAATTATGAAAAAGACAAGCTAATTGTCACAAACATTTGGGAAAAAAAACAAATAAATAACTTTTGTGCAATTAGAAAAACACAGCCAGTTCCGATGGCAAATCTTGTAAAAATATTTAGTGCTGTATATACACAAACGCTGTATGTGTAAACAATATTTCTTGTGCTCGTTCAAAATAAATGATCAAATCTACAAATATTTGTATATACCTAAATATATCTATACTGCATTTAGCCTGTCCTAGGAGACCCCTGTCTTGACGAATTGTAATCAAATCTGCAATTGCGTGTCTTGATGGATCGCTTGCCCCTGTACTTTTCCAACTGCCCATCATTTGTGACTAAGTTGTGTGTGTTGTGCGTGAGCTCCTGGGGATTAGACGCGAGAGGGCTGTAATCGCTTTGGAAATGCAGTGTGCAGAGCACCGGTGTCTGACTCTGGGAGGAGCTTCGGGACTCGCTTAACTCCTCTGGATCATCTCTGGATTCCCTCGAGGAGCGGTGGAAGCACGCATGCGCACTCCGCCGCTCCGTCTGCATCCCGAGCGCGCGCGAGCCAAGAGGATGAACTTGTCGCGATACCTGCGGTAAAGACCATAGACTGTAAACATTAAAGGTAAAGACACAACGCGAACCTGGGAAGTTGGACCAGACGTCGGGATAACCATTTCTTCGTGAGGATATGTTTTATTGGAGTTTTCGATTGAAAGTCTCTCCGGACATACAGTAAGTTATAGATGCGGAAACAGCCTCACAGAAGATAACAACAGTCAAAACTCCAGTCTTGACTAAAATGCGTCTGTGCACATGTTATTAACAGCATGCCGTGGTTCAAAAGAAGCGTCAAAATGTTTCTACACGGAGTGACACCAACGCATCCTGAACTTATACGCTTGTTTATGGCGCTGCCTCTCCAATGCCATGCCTCGTTGGGTTGATTCTCCTTGCGGGAAAACTGTAACGACCCCCCTCGGCACCTGATTTTGTCATAATGTCCAAAGTGATTCAGAGGAAGCACCACTGGATCCACAAAGTCCACGAGTGCGCCGTGGTCCGGGACGCGTCTGGGGAGCTGAACGTGGAACTCCGCGGTGGAGCAGAGAATGGGGAGTTCGCGTACGTCGGGGAAGTTAAAGAGGATGCTGAGCTGTACCAGGACGGCAAACTCTGCGAGGGGGAGCTTCTGCTGGAGGTGGAAGGGCTGTCGGTGGCCGGGTTACCCCTGTATGACATATACACTGTGATGAAGTGCTGCCATGATCCCATCAGGCTGACCACTGTGCGACAAGGTGAGATGGATTAACTTTTACACCCACTCTCTTGAGATAAAGCTGTTGTTTTATTATTATGATTAAGCTCTGGTAAACATCATACGTCATATTGCATTAAAAGGCTTGGTTAGGGTACTAGCTTTAAGTCTACCAGGTTAAACATATATGGGGTATTCAACTCGAGGCGCAAGGGTAAGATCAGGCCCTCCAAACAGGACCCATTTTCAAACTACAAAAGTAGACATAAATATTTCTACTGGTAAGTCCTAGTTTTGGTTTTTGTTTCATTCTGACTTGGTATTGCCTACTACTGCACTTCTGGAAGTTAGTCCAGGCTTAAATGAATATGGTACTAGTTCACCTTATGGACTCAAGAGTCCAAACCAGGCTGGTTTGGCTCAGCGTTGTTGACTTCTATATTTTTCATAATTTTTTTTCTAGAGGCTGTCCAAAAACCATAATTGAAATAATTGAACTGCTATTGAGATAAACAAAGAGTTGCGATGCTCATTTACAATTCATATGGCCCTACTATATGTACTGTACACTTTCTGGTGGTGGTTGTAAGGGGTCCATCACCTGTTCTCTCAGAAAAATGCAAGGCTATAAACATAAGCATACATTTTTTCATTTATTCATTGCCTAAGTATTTGAATGGCAGTATAGAATGGATCTTTGTTGTATTTATTGTTTATACCTGCTTTAGTTCTTGTTCTCATAAGCTTGAAATTCAGGTTAAGTAGTGGATTGATTTACATTTGGGTTGACTGGTTTTGTTCAGTCACTGAATCAATACTAGCTCTACCTAGATATTTAATTTAGCACAATTTGCAGGTTTTGTAATCACCATGTAGAGCCCATGGGCAGGGCGGCTACTTGGAAACGAAATGATGTTGCTTGAGCATATTTTGACATGACGCCTGCCTTTCCGACCTCTAGTTCAATTTGTGTAACATCTCTAAAACCACGGAAGGGTCACGGATTAGGCCAATACTGGCGGCAGTGGCATGAGCGTACACACAGTCTGCACACTGTTGAACTTGTCACACTGAATGAGCAAAACCACAAACTTTGATCCATGCTGAACTGGAATATCTATCCACAAACCCACAAATCCAAACCCTCTCGGTTTAATTTAAGCTATCAACAAGGAATTCTTTGAGTGGAGAGGATGCTGTTATTGTGTTGTTGTTGTTCTATTGTGTGTACGTTTAACTTGAAAAGGTAGGGCTTGGTTAGTAATGGGATGGGAGATTGCATGGAAAACCTGGTTCAGTGAATCAAGTGCAAACTGGTGTGTCCTTGGGCTTTGTTTTTAAAATATGTGCAGAAGTTGTGGGACAGACCAATGGAGCAGATTGGCAGCCTCACTTCTGTCAGTTAACGCCAGACCAGTAACCTCTTTGTGTGTATTTAAAAACAAAACAACTCAAAGCATTTTCCATAAGATACAGTTTATTTTTCTCCATAAGAGATATTAAACCAGTTTCTGAGCGTTCAAACCTTTTAAGTGAATGGTGAACTGTTTAATTTGTCTAAAGAATGCCGGTCCTGTTTGAGTGTGCGTGTTAGTTGAGCTGACCCCATGTCCACGGTCGACTGCACATCAGTAAGAGATGGCCACTGGGAGAAGGACAGCACACTGTCCCATGTGTATTCTGAACGTGCAGAGCTCTCTGCATTCGCCATTCTTCTCTGAGCACATTCTTGCCACACTTTCCCAGCTTTTTTGTCCGTTTATTGTTATCTATGGTGTTGGTACCTTTATATTTCCTGGTTTGCCAGACCCTCCTTCTTCCCAGACCATTTTGTGCGTCATTTAATTTTGGGTCAATCCAATCACAACCACTAAGTGCACATCGTTATGTGTAACACGGTGCATCTTCCCATCATCTCAGCATTTGTGTGTTCAGTACATTGCTAATTATTCATCCGGGTTTTGTTTGTTTTGGCTAACGTCTAATGTTGTTGAAGTGCTGGCCTTAGCCTTATCTGTTGTTATCATTGAGATGGCACTAAACAATTTAACAAACCTTTTGGATATAATCATTCCAATTCCCCCAAAAATGAGTTTTCCAAACATGTGACATGTATCCTGATGTCTGATTGATTAAACCTTTTGAAATAATCCCCTGGTTTTCTAATAAAGTGAATAACTGTTTAGACCAGAAGAGACCAACTATGACGTGTACTCGTGTGTGAGAACACAAATACAATAAAAAAACGTGTAAGTAAAACCTCCCTGTGTGCTGCCACATGCTTTTATTATCATTTCTGTATTTCTGTAAGGTGTGCCTTCACACAGGTGGTGGAGTAATGAAAATAAAATATTTTTACTGCCACATGCTCAAAAAAATGTGCTTATGTCCTCACCAACAGGGGTAATGTAATCACCTGTGTGTGTGTGTGTGGGAAGGATTGTGCAAAATCTACTGGACGGATTGATATGAGATTTGGTGTGTAGATGGGAAGTGATGGTATGAAAATCCCATTAAAAATTGAGCGAAGAGATCTGTGGTGTTGGCGGAGTATGCGGTCTACGAGTGCACGTTTGAGTACACTGCTCTGATCAGCCCTCTCCACCCTCTCTGTCCTCTCTGGAGAGTTCACGATGCTTTCAGGTTCAAAACTCTGAGGTCCTGCTGACTTAACTGCATGTAGGTACAGCACAGAGCTGGAGGAGATCCGGAGACAGATCCTGTGTTTGTACAGGGTTTACCCACGGTGCCGATACTAATACCTGAAGAATGTGTTGTATTTGGGGTTTAGCTGTTGACTTTTCACTTCTGCAATGTGATCAGGCTGGTTCTGAACCCACTTCTACTATTTTATATATAGTTAGTATGATGTATTTTCATTTTTGTATTAGATTCCAAAAAACATACACATTATAAAGGGTTCCTATTATACACTATCATCGATCCGCCAATCCGATTTACTCATAGTTTCACTCACACAATGATTGACAAAGACGGTGAAACTGTGAGGGAAAATCATTAACCACTGTTATGTAAAAGGCGCTTGTTTTGCTTGTGTGCTGTGTGTCCATTAGTGAAGTTCACATGAGCTGCAGCCGCTGCCCCAGAGACAACAGGCTGTGGATGCTCTCAGTCCAATCTAACATGTGTGGGCCACATTACTGTTAATGTACACTCAGATCTGAAATATTTATGTGTCGCTCTGGCCCAAAGGGCACCATCCATCTTGGAGCAGTTAAAATCACATGAAATGTACATACATATGATGTTGTTATTACATTTTCTTGTATTGTTGTCAAATTGATTTATATCGGCTACAACTACAAGATCTATTGCCTGGTTTTACTTTTAATTTTCTCTCCTTGGCCCGAGTGAAGATACTGCCACTAAAGATTGTTTATTATAACTAGGGCTGTGATTGACATTTATTTTGATAAGTGATTAGTTGACCTATTATTTGTTGCCAAACTGTACAATAAGTCACTTCAATGACCTGCCCTAGGACTGAAACACTTGCACAGCTATAGTCCCTTTTATTTTATTGCACATTATATACTGTGCACAAGAGAGACTGTATTTTAACCTTTCAACATGTTTGTACATTTCACATGTCTTTTTTCACATCCTGAGTGATCTATGCCAAATGTGACATGTGATTTTCTCCATTGTGAGATCAAGGGTCACAAGAAAAGTAAATCTTATCTTATCTTGATTCATTCATCGTTTTGATCATGAAAAGCTGCAGAATATGGAGGTTTCTCTAAAGTGAACCCCTAGAAATCTCCAGCGTGATTCCACTCAAGAACAGATTATTTGGTAAAGCCCTAAATCACAACAGCAGTTCTCTCGGAGGACAAAGTTTTCAGTTTGCCAACACCGATCAAAGAATCAAACAGAAAAGATGCAACTATAAAACATAGACTAGTTCTTGAACATTTTTCTTCATTCTTCAGTAATTACGTTTTTTTTTTCTTCTTCTGTAACTCCATTTTACTTTCACCTTGCCGGGCTGCGAGGACAGGCTGACTGCTCTCCTCTCTGGCCTCTACTCTCCTTACATGAGCTCTGCATTTCAGCTTGAAACCCAACCAGCGCTCAGGTACAGGTGGAGGAGTGTGTCCCGTCAGGAATGCAGAGCTAAGCCCACTGAGCTACTATTACACCCCCTCTCCCCAACACTGCCACTTTTTTAATCTGTGTAAACAAGCTTCAGACTGAGGCGAGGGGGAGCAGGCATGGGACAGGATTTTCCATCCACATCAAACATTTAGTATTTATACGTGCATAATGATACACTCCACATCCACCTGATGCTTTTGAGGGCTGGGTGTGCAGTGCTGGTTTAGTGCACAGGTTTTCACAAAGGATAAATACAGCTCTACTTTACGCCGAGTGTCTTTAGGGCTGTCAGAGCTACACCTTTATGATGAGGTTGAAGTTCAAGTGGGGTAGGAAGAATTCACAGGACTTTGACCTGTAGTCTTTTGTTAGTTTTATGTGCAAGAATGCCTCAAGTAAAAGTACTTAAACAAGATCAATCTACATGACGTGGTTGAGCTAACTTGAGTGAGTCTTTATGTATGCCTTTGTAGCTTTAGATTTGCATTTGTATAATTTATAACACTTTTACATTTTTCATCTTGATAGGATGTAGTGGGACTTTTCCATCTAAATACTTTTTTGTAAAGGTCCCGGGCCTGTGCTCTGAATTAATATTTAATTTAACTCCATGATAGCTTGGCGTCCTCAGGCGGATGGAATTTTGGTAAAGCTTTTAGACAAAAAATTTCCAGTTCCTGTAAACTCCTGGGCTGCCTTTCATGAACAGCACAATATTTCCCAAGAGTGGTTCAATTATGTTATTTTACATTTGTGTATTTGACAATATATGGCTTCACACAAACCATGAATATTGAGCTTTCTTCATAACGTTGGGAGTTTCATGCTTTTGTGGCATTTTCTGAGTATCATGAATTTTCATATTTGGTGAAAAGATCGGCTCGATGCCATATCCAGATCCAAACATGTAGCCGCTAAAGC